ATATAGTCATTTTAACAATTTTCCCTCAATTAGATATCCATTTTACATTATTTTATTCTGAGTCATTTTGGAGCATTCCCTCAACAAAATTTATATATAATTTCCATACAACTCATATCCAATGCAAAAACATAAAAGCGAACTATTCTACTCTTTCCTTACAAACCACAAGAACCGAACCACAAACCTTTAAAGACACAAATTTCTGATCAAACGTTCTGAAGAAATACCATTCTTGGATCAATTTTGAAAACATTGTAAAAGCACAACAGAAGCATGAGAGAAAAATCAAACTAGACATGATAAAACTGAACTCGAAACTTGAATTACACACAACAACAAACTTCGTGTGCTGAAACACAAGCAAACTAAAGTGGTGCACAAGTTAGCAAGAAATCCTATGGGAATCTGAAATACACCAGAAGACAAAAAAAAAACGAAACCAAATAAACACAGAACAAAAAGCTTCATTTTCGGAAACACAAGAAAACAAAACTACAAGATGGCAACAAAATTATTAAAAAATATTTAAAATTAAAGTGTAGATTTTTGTTCACTTAATAAATCGATTGGATGGAACTATTACACAATGTTACAACCTGAAGCTGAAACACTAGAAAATAAATCGGAGCCAATAAAAGTTAAATATTTCTTTCATAATTGTGTTATAATAATGAAACCGTGAAGAAGCCCATGCCACAAGAATCTCAAATATATATTGCCATTCCCGTTTCTAGAAATTTTCCTGTCCTCGTACCCGTCTCAAAGCTACTAACTCTTTGATATTTTAATGCTTTTTTTCTTATTATATGACAGGTATATATTAGTTTATCTAGAAGGGTGTGATGTTTCCAACAATCTCTCTTTGTTTCTCTGTGTTGCAAACCCTAAAAAAATTCTTCCAGGTGATCGTATTATATATTGTATTCATCTGCAAACTTTTAAATAATTTATCATTTAGGTTCAACTCATTTTGAAACAGGTTGGAGCCATTTTGTCCAGTCTACTATAACTGTGATAAATAAAGATCCAAAGAAATCGAAGCATTCAAGTTATCTTTTTTTTGCATATTTTACTTTTCATTTAATATCCATTACCTTTGACAAACTACATATTTGCATTGTTGTCAACGAAATTTCAAGTGTTTGATAACTAGGCCATATTGAAACTGTTTTCACTTTTTAGTATCGAATAAAGAAGCTATATTTGCATTGTTGTCAACGAAATTTCAAGTGTTTGATAACTAGGCCATATTGAAACTGTTTTCACTTTTTAGTATCGAATAAAGAAGCTATATTTGCATTGTTGTCAACGAAATTTCAAGTGTTTGATAACTAGGCCATATTGAAACTGTTTTCACTTTTTAGTATCGAATAAAGAAGCTATATTTGCATTGTTATGGTTTATTTCATTTTATTAAAGGTCTTAATTTAGATCTTTGTTGACAGAAACTTTCGCTGATCTTTTCTCTTCTAACCTTCAAACAACAAACGAAACAGCAAACTTCTCAGAACTAGTGATTAGCATAAAGCAAAGAGCAGGTTCCAATAATTATAAAATATTCGGTAAAAGAGTCATTTACCCTCTGCAAAACTTTGCTATTAGTGGCTTGACCTCTTCTGATACCATTTTCCCAGGTTATATCTTTGTAAAACATAACAAATAATTCATTTTCCCAGGTTATATCTTTGTAAAACATAACATATAATTAACCGAGGCGTTTGGCTCTGATACCATTTTCCCAGGTTATATCTTTGTATACTTTATACTTTATATCTTATGCTTATGTATGTATAAAGATATAAATTTTAAAAGATATAAATTTTAAGAACTATGGTAAAGAAAGTTGTATGATTAAAACTTACTTTATTAAACTTGGTAGATAGTACAAAGAAAACAAAAGTTTTAAAGTTCACGGAAGAAAATACAAAGAGAGTAGATGGGAAGCTTTTACAATGTTCTCTCGCTGAAAACACTCTGCCCTCTCTCTCCCAACTCTCTTCCCTATTTATACTAAAGGGTTGATGGAAGTATATGTTGTTGTGTCTTCATAAGAGATGATGTGTCTTGATTTGAAGTTGCTGTTGTGTCTTCATTATAATAAGGGATAATGTGTCTTGATTTGAAGTTGCTGAGTAATCTTGATGTTTTTGTCTCTTGTCTTCAGGGTCTTGAATAGTCTGAATCCTTTTGTTTTTTATTTCCTTAGCTTTTGACGAGTTTTGATGTTGGCATAATTGATGATATTGTCGTTTTCTTCTGATTGGTGATTTTGTCTTCATTGGTAGTCTTGTTCTCTTCGTTGTCTTGATTGTGCTGTTGTATTGCAAGATTATAATATATACATATTGTAATATTTATTTTTGATATCTTTAGCCACAGATTTTTTTTTTTTTTACATATATTTTTACATAATAGGATAAAACTTTTTAAATATATAGATTTGTAAATACTTATTGTACATATCTTTAGCCACAGTTTTTTTTTCTTTTATTTTCCGGGAATGATATAAATTTAATTTTTGAAAAGATCTTGAGATAATGGACCGCCATATGGGTTGTCGTCTTGTGTAGCAAAGAGCAGGTTCCAATAATAATAAAATATTCGGCAAAATAGTCAATTACCTTCTGCAAATCTGTGCTATTAGTGGCTTGACCTTTTCTTGCCCTCATATTAAAGCTTCTTCGCTCTGCAAGCTCTCTTTACTCTGATCATTTTTGTGTTTCTTCCGGCTCTGATCACTTCCCCTTTGAAGGCCTTCTTGATATTCCTCCACAGCTTTCGTCAGAAGTCTACATTTACCCTGAACGAAACTCAAAAGCAGGGAAAATATAATCCGCAAACTGGATTTCCACAGTAACTTCATGATTTCCCTGTAAATTAATCAGCCATCATAATTTAGAGGCATCAAATTTTGAAAATGTATGTAGTGTAGTAGGGTAAATGGCATCAAACCCCGTGAGGATCAGTGGCAGTGGTCGCGGCTCGTTCAAAAGACGATGTACTAAATTATCTGTATTGTCTACAAGACAAGATCCGTTTTGAAAGATGATGTAATAATGCTGTACTAAGTTATCTATTCAGATTTGAATTTAAATGTGTTGTGCTTGAATAATGTATCATAACGTTCTAAGTTATTTGGATTTTTAAGTAGATTGGTGTTTGAATATGCATGTTGTGCTTGAATAATTAATTTATTATAACATATGGTTTGGATTGTTAAGTAGATTGCTGTTTAAATGTGTTGTGCTTGAATAATTAATTTAGCACAACATATGTTTGCGAGGGAATAGGAGTCCATTCTTCTTCTTGATTTCAGTTTTTTTTAAACATGAAATTTTATTAAAAATTGATCATAAGATATTTATTTTAATTCCTCGAGATTATACCATTTATATTTTTTGTTAAGATCACATAGAAGACACCGTTGAAAGAAGAATAACATACATTTGAACAGATTTAATTATAAAAGTATACATTTGAACAGATTTAATTACAAAACTATGACAAATTATATCATTTATATTGTTTGTTAGATCACATAAGAGGCACAATCGGAAAAAGAATAACATACATTTAAACAGATTTAATTATAAAACTATACATTTGAAAATATTGATGCACTGAACTAGAAATTCAATGTAGATTCAAGATTTACTATGCGGTTCAAAAATAATAATTTTATAAAACTTAAATATATATTTTTCTTTATTGTTTCTAATATATAGTTATTATAAATTTGTTATCATTACAAAATAATTCTCTGGAAAAATTATAGAAATACAAAATTTCTCCTTTCATTGAAAAAATTCATCATAACAAAGCTTAAAAATAATATTTTTTCTAATTTTTATTTTGAATCCTTTCAATGAAAAAAAATATATTTTATATTTTTATAATTTTTTCAAAATATTCTTTGCAAAGAAATTTTTTTAATTAACACATTTTAAAAATAGTAAACAAGAAAATATATTCAAGTTTTATCTTATTTTTGTAAAATCGTCTATCCTCAAATCACATCGTAAATCCTGAATCTAAATTGAACTTATTGTTCACGACATCTATAAATTTGATAAAATTTAGATAAATTGTAAATATACAAAGACTTCAGATCTACACCAACTAAATAACAATATTCATATAGGAATCAAACACCATACTATAAAGAGATAGTAAATGCATCACATCACATCACATACATATGCATATAGACACTCGTGAGTCAATAGATATAAGAACTAGAAAGGATTACAGACACCGATTTTTTGCACGATTTTGAGTAACTCACAAGTCAGGCAAGAAGAGTGCTCATTGGGACACTTTCTTTCCACTGGATCTGCTCATACTCGTAGCCATATTTTAAAGCTCTCTGAGTTTTTTTTTTTTTATAACTGAAAGCTCTCTGAGTTTAGAAAAATAAATATGGTTCCAGACATTATATAGTCATTTGGTTTTGATAATTTAACAAAAAGCTCTTTATCTTGATATGTAAAGAAATACTATATAGTCAATGTGTTTTAATATCTTTGGCATAAATCTGTTCTTATCATTTGCAAATTTGTAAGTTTCATCTTTCAATTTGGAAGTAAACTTAATATTTCCATTTCCATTTCCATTGACTAGATATTTTTTTTTAGAAATTAAATTTCTTGTAAAAATTAGGGTTTACTTTCGTACGAAAACGCAAGAAAATATGGGGGAAAAGACTCAATCGTTACAAATTCAATTACTACTCTTCTTATATGCAATCGTTTCAATATCACTTTTTTACATATTTAGGATTCATTTTTTTAACCAAAAAAGAAAAAACTGTTTTTTGCCCATGTGCATTAGTAAATGAGTTGTAGTAGATGTGAACGAAGTCAAATCAGTACTGTTCTTGTTCATATAAACATACCACAACAGTACACCAAGGCTATAAAATGATACATGTACAGTAATACATAAATACATTAATTATACAGAGAAAGAACAAAATGTTTACAGAACAGTCAAACGGGTCAATCTTCCTTGAGACTATTCCGGGAAGGAGTCTTGAGAGACAAGCCAAGATCTCTGCACAACTCTTCATCTGGCTGCAAGCTTCCAGGGATTGTACCAAAAGCTCTTCTTAAAGTTTCAAATCCAGAGGCCAAGAAATGAATATACGCAGACATGTCCTCCAATTTTTTCCCCACACTCATAGAAGACGACGCGAACACACTTGTCTTTGATAAGTTGGAATCAGCTCTTGATAATCGGTTAAGATCTGAGGCTTTTATAAACTGTTCAGTAGCAGCATCCATGAAAGTTCATGTCTTTGTTGTTCTGTTAATTGTGATGGTTGTTCCCCAAGAGCCTTGAGCGTGGCTCTAACGAAACCTTCTCATCGTCATAGACTCTACAGTTAGGGAACTATTTGAAGAAGTCGTTTGATGTGTGACTTGCGCAAACTATGGTTTTTCCAATTGCCAAGGCTTCTGCAGTTGTTGTGCAAACCATATCTGTCGTGCTCGGGTTGAAAAAAACTCTATAGCTGAGATGCAAGATAGATAACTTCTTTTAAGTTTTTAATTATAGATAAATTCCAATAGATTGCAAATAGACAAAGGTTTAGGTGTTTCTTAGGTCAAGAGAAGGATCTATGTTACAAGTGTGATGTATAGTTGAGGTTTTTAAAGTAGAGACTTACTTGTGAAATGGTGAGTCAGCATGATCACGTCCTGGGTATACATTAACCTTCAGGTCGAGTTTCTCGACTGCTTTTTTAATATCTTCAGAGTCTTCTCCACTACGTATAAATCAACATGTAACCCAGCGAGTTCCTTTTGGTGTCTTGTAAGTAGTTCAAGAAGCTCCTTGTACCCTTTGCTCAAGACCATCTTACCAATGTAGTATGCACTGAATGGCTGCTCCTCATGTTCTTGTTTTCTCAAACCAATCTTGAGAAATTTAGGGTTGACACCGTGAACATTGCGAACTATAGATTTAGGGTATTCTTGAGTTGCAGCTGATAATCGGATTACCTGCATCATTAGCACAAGTCCTGACTCAAATCAAAATGGTCTGATAATAGTAAACACAGGCCAACAAACTGTTTTTGGTCATCAAATCAGAATTGTGAACACGGTTTACTATTTTGAGCAGCCACTCCATCGTGTCTACTAGTTGCTGTAAAGAAGTTTACATTGATACCATTATCTTCTTCACATAAGTGAGCAATTACTTCAGCTAATAGCTGTAAAGATGTATTACCTTGTGGCAGTAAATGCCAACAACCCAATAAGATATTTGAGGAGAAAAGCTTTGAGACGGCCTTGTTTCCCTCTCTTTACGTATTCCAAGTAGTTGGTGTGTACAATCCCTATGACATAGTTGAACTTGGTTTTCCATTTTTTGCCATGATGAAACCAGGTGCGATGCTCAGGCTCCTCAAGGACAGCAATGTCTGCCTCTTCATCAGGGATAGTATCTGCTATATCTCCAACAGGAAGAATACCTCTTTTGTCTTTTGCAAACTGCAGTAAGATCATTTGGAATACTAAAGTGAGATTAATTCATCATAATTAACATGGCACATTCAAAAACCAGTGAAAAGTTAAACTCATGCTAACACGCTGCATTAGAGATTAACTAGAAAGACATACATGCATGATGGTGCCAAGGTAAGCATTTTTCATCCTCACAGATTTGAGTCTAAAGCAAAATCTCTGTGTCTTAGGCTCTTAGCATGTTGGTGCCAAGGTAAGCAGTTTGAGTCCTCATTCTACAGAATTGATTGCTTATTATAAAAATTAAAAAAAATAAATGGGCCTAAAGTGTTTTTATTTTTGCTTTAGGCATGAAATTGGCTTGGATTAGTTTTGGTAATGGTTGTTGACAGCAATTATGAAAAACATTATCTACTGTTTTTTTCGTAAAATTAAAAGTTTTTTTCATTAGTATTTACGATTACAAAGAGTTGTAGCTAAACAAATTTTTTTTTAAAAACACAAAATTTATTGATAATAAAGATACATATATTATTTTTTCTTAAAATAATTTTACAATATTTTAAATACAAAATATCTAATAAATTTAAAAAATTTTGAAGTAATATTAATTAACTTGTGCTTGCCCTAACATTGATATTCATTAATAAGATATTTAAGTATAAAAAAAACTAAATAATTTTTTTCCATCACTAATCTTATATATTATTTGAAAAGCGAGTTTAATAAAAATTGATGATGTGTTGTTAGGAGAAGAAAAATTAGTGTAAATTAATGATGACCTGGAAATATGACATGATAAATTTTATAAAATAAATAATTAAAACGAAATAAATCTTATTTTCAAATAAGAAAAAAATATATTATATGAATGCATTCCCATTATATACCATAAATTCGAAATTATAAATAAAACAAAAAAGGATAGAAAAATAAATCAAAAGTATCCTTTTAGTGAAAAAGAAATAGAAGTAAAAGTAAAAATAAATTTCTACGACTTTGGTTTTCTGTAAAAATCTCGGGCTATATATTTGGTTTAAAGAATCTCCAACTTTCCTTTATTTTAAATTTTTTAATTTAGAAAAAAATAGAGATGTTATTTTTTTCTTTTATAATTGGAGAAAAAAATAAAAATCTTTTTCTTTTTCTTTTGTCAACAGCCTCATGTTCCTAGAACAATTCAGGAAGCCTAGTTGGTGGAATTGAGTTTACATAGTTTAGATGATAAATGTAGTCTCGAGCATTTCGTGCTAACTTGTCTGCCATTGTGTTATGCGCGCGTGAGATCTTTGAGATTGAAAAAACTTTAAACTCCCTTCTATTCTTCTCATATTCCTCCAAATATACAGAGAAGGCTGGCCACTCCATTGGATTAGATACCATCTTCACTAATTCGGAACAGTCTGTGATAAAAGCCACCTCCAATCTCCTAGCGTCAAGCATACAATGCATTGCCCATATCAATGCCTCCAACTCTGTATGCAAAGGTGATAAACTCCTTCCAACGTTCCTCATTCCCATTAACATACCCGTCGTTCCTGCTTCCTGACTAAACCACCCCAAACCCGCATTGGGTTTATCTTGTTTCCAAGATACATCTGTGTGACAAATCACTCTGTTGTATGCAAAAAACCTATCTTGTGTCCCACACGGTATGGTTACCATTACTTCATCAGTTTGTGCCTCATCCCAAGCATGTGCTTCCGCAGTTACCAAGGATATACTTTCATGTCTTCATGATTCGGAAGATGTCAAAATAAATTTGCCATATTAGAAAATAGGGCATCCATTGGAAACCGGTGCAAAGGTGTGGGTATTGACGATAGCGCTCATACCTGAAATGCTGGGGGACACTCAAAAAGTACATGGTTAATAGTTTCCCTATCGGCACCACTAGTGCAGTGAGGATCACAATTTTCACCTCTGCTCCGTAAACGGTCCATAACCGCCAAACATTCGGAAAGTAATTGCCATAGAAATTTTTTTATTTTTGGTGGGCATTTTACCTTCCATACTTGTGCCTGTAGTTGACTGACATTCGGACCATACCAAATCGGTGAATTATCCTGTTAAGGATAAGCTTGCTCCGTTAAATATCCTAATTTTACTGTATATCTCCCTGTTTACGTAAAATTTCAACCCAATACATCTGGTATGTATCCTCTAGTAGTTGCCATCCCAGTGATCAAAAGTATATCTTCCGGTACAATTAATTGTTTAAGTAATGGTATATTCCATGTTGATGTTGTTTGATCAATCAATTGATTGAGTGTTAGCTCAGGGTAATAATTAAACCCCTTGCATGATGCTGATCTCGGGCATGAGGATGGAATCCAAGGGTCATTCCATACAGATATAGAATGATCGGATCCAACTCTTTTAATAAGCCCTTTGTGTACCAGAGATCGAGCAGATGTAATACTCTTCCACCCATAAGACAGGGAGTGTGATCATATGGGATCGAGAGGTGTTGCATTCCTGAAATATAGACATTTAAAAACTCTAGCAAAGAGAGAATCTGGAAACTCAATAAGTCGCCAGAGCTGTTTAGCCAGTAAAGCTGTGTTGAAATCCTCAATAACGCGAAATCCCAGGCCACCTTCTTGTTTTGACTTACATAACTTGTTCCAGGCCAGCCAGTGCATACCCCGTGATTGTCCATTGTTACTCCACCAAAACTTGGCTATTGTGCTCATAAGTTTAGTAGTGATCGCTTTTGGCAACCTAAAGCAGGACATACTGTACGTCGGAACTGCTGTAGCTATCGATTTGATAAGAATCTCCTTTCTATTTAGACGTCCAGCCATTAACCCTCTTCTGTTGTCTGTCTAATAGAAAGTTAAAAATCTTTGTTTTTGCTCCGCCCATACTCTCCGGGATGCCTAAGTATGTACCCATTCCCCCAACGTTGGCAATTCCCAGTATCGGTCCTTGTATCGTCATATCAATTTTATGCCCAATTTGCACCGATGATTTATCAAAATTAATCTGTTGACCCGAGACCTCCTCATATTATTTTAAGATACTAAAGAGCACATGTGCCTCCTCCTTAGTTGCTTTACAAAAGAATATCATCCGCAAAAAATAAATGTGAAACCGGCGGGCTTACTCGCGCAACTTTCTTCCCAGTAATTAGGTTATTTCGTTCTGATTTCTTTAGGTTAGATATCAATACTTCCATGCAGAGAGTAGAAAGATATGGAGATAATGGGTCCCCTTGTCGTAGCCCTCTATATGGTTTATATTACCCCTTAGCTGTCCATTAATAAGAACCTTATATTGCATTGACCCAATACTCCGCATCATCTAGGTGATCCATTTTTCCGTGAATCCCATTCTTCGAAGTAAATGTTCAATAAAAAGCCATTCAACCCGATCATAAGCCCTACTCATATCTGTCTTTACTGCCATATATTCCTTCTTACAAGAGTTATTTGTTCGCAAGCCATGAAACATTTCTTGTGCTATTAGAATATTGTCCAAAATAAGCCTGCCTGAAACATAAGCGGATTGTGTCTCTGAGATTAGCCGTGGTAACAACTTCCGCAATCTTTGACACAGAACTTTTGATATTATTTTATACCCAACGTTACAAAGACTAATAGGTCTTAATTTTGTGATACAGGTGAGTCTTTCCTTTTTGAGAATAAAACAAATGTTTGTTATATTTAAACGTTTATCAAACGTCCCTGAACGGAAACAATTATTTACCATCTGGAGCATATCCTCCTTAATAATATCCCATGACCTCTGAAAAAACAAAGCTGTCATTCCATCAGGATCGGGGGACTTTTCTGGATTCATCAGAAAGAGCGCTTCCTTCACTTCTTCCATTGATGCCTGCTTAGTTAACTCATCATTTTCTTGCTCCGTGATTTTCGGTTGTATTTCGTCTAAGCCTTCCTCAATTGATGTTGGAGATATACACGTAAAAAGTTCATTAAAATATTCCACAACAACTTTCTCCACTTTATTTTCACCTGCTACCCAAACTCCATGCTTGTCATGTAATCCAACAATTTTATTTATGGTCTTCCTCTGTTTTGTTATCGCATGATAAAACTTTGTATTAAGATCACCACATATGTTCCATAAATTCCTACTCTTTTGCTGCCAAAATTTTTTCCTCATCACGATACGCATCCTTGAGTTTTTGAGTTATTTCATTGAGTTCTTATTGCGTTCGTGTATCATCAGTCTGGATATCCTCTAATTGTCTTTGTAATTCCTCAATTTTATCCCTCCCTTCCGTTTGACATTCCTTCCTCCATTTTGAAATTGCGTGTCTACATACACTAAATTTGTTGACCAATGAGTTAGGCGGTGTAGAATGAGTAGTATTCCAACCTTGGGTTATTGCCTCAAACAATCCCTCCTGACCTATCCACCTCCTATCAAACCTAAATTGTCGTCTTTGTTTTATCTTGTTTGACGCCATTTTTGCCACAATTGGTCGATGATCGCATCCAATCATCCGTAAATATTCCACATAAGAGAATGGAAATAAGTCACTCCATTCCTCTGTAGCAAGACCTCTATCCAATCTACAGCGAACATTTTGCCCGTGGCGCCAACCTTTCCAAGATAGCGTATTCCCCGGTTTGAAAAGTCAATTAATCCATAATTACTAATCATTGTATTAAAATCAATAAATGAAGAAGCCTGACTAAGAGAACCTCCTTGTTTCTCATGATTGGCTATGATTTCATTAAAATCCCCAATTAAAAACCATGGATTAGTTCTTATCAAACTTATCCGTGTTATTTCTAAAACCACTAAATGAGAATATATACATTATGAAAGGTAAACACTCGCATCCTTTTATTTTATCCAACTGCTCTTTCTCTCAGACAATTAAAAAAAAAATCGGCGACCTTTCATATTACTTCTCTTTGTCCGTATTAGGATTATACGAAGAGCTTAGATGATATTTTAGAGATTGGCACACAGATTAAGAAATTATTTAATTCTTTATTTTTTTCAAATCAAAATATGGCTCTGATTGGTTGTAGACTTTTACTGTTAATACTGTAAAATAATAGACTGTAAAAACTGTGATTTTAAAATAATGACAATGGCTTTAAAAATGAATTAAAGCCATATTTTTTGGCTTTTAAAAAACTCATCGGTTATGAAGAAAAAAAAGGAAGAAAATAGCTGTG